GAAGGAGTTTTCTGTTTTCCGGCTTCCTGCCCCAACAGTACCGTCATTCTCAGCTGCAAACGGCCAAACAGGACTGTCCATAATGTATCTGGGTCAGAACATTTGGTGGCTCATGAGATCTGATGATTGACAAATATTCCCCACACAGTTAGGAAGGAGCATTCGGTGATCGTGCCCCGCGCGCGGCTTTTGATGGACCAACCTAACGATTGGACACCGAAAGATCAGAGAACAGCAGACAGATGCCTGTTGCTGCCTTGCAGCATTCAGAGACACGCGAATATGGACTTTATCAGTCTGCGATGACACACATTCCTGTACGATACTCCGAGGGCTTTTATTCACGTACCAAATGATGTGAGTTTGGATGTTTCCTGGTCATCATGGAGATGGAGCGCACTGCGAAGTGTGACGTCTGAATTGACTGGTTATCGCGTCCATTGCTTGACCGTGGTTCGTCTCGTTACAGTTGTGCCGCATGGGCGCTATGTTTAGGGTTTTCGCACACCTTCCCGATTCCTGCCGCGTATTCTGGTGTGGAATTTCCGTGATTTTCCGCAGTCTCTAGCGCCTTCTATCAACTGAACCTTCGTCTTGTTTCAAAATCTACTGGCAGATGGCGTTACTCGCCAACACATGCATGCTGTGTGCCCCACCCATCCCATTCTCTTCGATCTCATCGCCCGAGAGATATTCCGTGAAAGAATTTTCTCTGTCTCCTTCGTACTAGAATTTGAGGTTTTCACATCGGTGAGTCCGAAGATGCCTGTCTTCTGGGGGTTGTAGTGCCGTGTAGTCTGGTAGAAATTTTCCAACGGTACAGAGGTCCTTGCTGCCTCCATCGTCAGGGCGATGAGTCACAGACTACACGGCGCCACAACACCCAGAAGACACCCGTCTCCTTCTTAATTCCTTTGGTCAAAATATTTGCTTCAAACACCCTCGTATGCTTCCTGTAAATGGCATATTTGAAGAAAATGTTATATTTTTATTCCCTACGAAGGAAAACTTAAAGCGATGAGATGTTTTGCATTGAGTTTTGTTTACTGCAGTCCAGTGGACGGCCTCCCAGAGCAGAGCCTTCTACGGACAGATAGCCTGCGGTGTGTTGCCAGGGTCGTAAATAAGGAGCCAGGTAGGAGACAGATGCCAGCAACAGATGTTACGTATGGGAGGTGACAAAGTTGAAAATAAATGGCGAGAATAATCAGTGTCTGGCTGCACAGCTTTAATTATACAGCGAGCAGGCGGTGTGACGGAAGTTGCACGTCTAATCGCCACACGCGTGTTATTTCAGTTAATTAGTATTCAAGGTCCGTCCAGCGTTGTGGCTTCGGGGAATCTTCCCTCCAGGTATCCTGAATGGAACGGGTTAGGGGGTAATGCTCCAGAATCAGGAAGCCCCCCTACGAAACGAGCGTCCTGGGGAAGGGGCTTGCTTGCTGGTGTTTGGCACTGGACGTGCGGGGCATAACTTGGGGGTGTCCTCAGGGGGCGTAGTCCCTGGAAACGGCCTAGCTTTGTCAGTGGAGAAGTCCCTCGGGGGCAGTCCGAGTCCTCGTGAGTCCTAGGTGATCTGACCTGAGCTGATCGAGGCAAAGGCCAAGGAACAACAATAGGCTACCATTGTTGCTTAACAATAACCCCCGGTCAGGCAGGTTGCCTGCCTCTTAGGATAACCGCGACATTAGGCGTTCCTCGCGTATGTCTACAACAGGTTCTGTTGTCTGACTTTCCTGAATATGAGAAACATTCCCACTGTAAAATAGAAAAATTATGTTGAGGTACGTCCGAGAGGAATTTTACATGCATATGTCGCGATATTTATCGAATTTAAGAGGCTGAGGACTTTTTATACCCGGAGGCAGAGCTGTGTCTGAATGGACCAGTTGAGATCACGATGCGGGTTCGTTATTTATTGCTGACAACAGCTGACGTATGAGGCAGTCAGGAAAATAACCGCTTGTCTGCTGCAGTTTCCTCCTCCTGAGATTTCGAGTCACTGAACGCAATATTAGTCCCCTCCCCTCCATTACTTCCCCCGCTTTTCTCCTCTCCCTTCCTCGGCCCTCGTCTTTTTCGCAGAAAGGTCGTCCTTAGGCATACAACTAAACTTTTTCATAATGTCGAATTGCGCTGAATTCTATGCACAGGAGCAGCTCAGCCTTAACGAATTATCCCCGAGAGGCAGTTCAGATGCAGAATTACTTATGAAATTATAAAGTTTTTGAACATTAAAATATTTTGGACGTAGATTGGCGCATCGCAAGGTCTGTAAGTACTCGACGCATAGAAACGCGTATATGAAAAGAAGATGCCACTCGGATCTAGACGTAGATGATATGATAATATTAAAGTAGATCTTAAGGGCGTAGGTTGTGGATTTGATTCAGATAGCTTAGGATAGGATTGATTGGTGGATGAACACGATAATGAAGCTCCTAGTCCCATAAAAGGCGGGAAATTTCTTGACTAGTTAATAGTAGAACTGGCCAAGAAATTTCCAACATTTTGTGGACCAGGAGGTTTAGCTTTGTTCACAAGAACCCGTGTCTCGGTCTGCGCGTACTACATAAATCCAGTCTACACTCTGTTTCCTTAGTATCTATTTTGATAGCATCTTCTCATCTCTTCGTAAATAAATTCAACGCTACGCACTTGACAGTATTTGGCGTGAAACGAGATTTTGTTACTGCTTGTGTTTTGCAAAGGCAGCGTAATAATTATACTTTGACGACCTGAAGAAACGGGGTAACTCGAGGTGAGGGCTGGCACGCGGTTCATAGGTTGTACATGTTTCGGGACCAACGGGGTGAGGTGAGACGGGGCACAGTTCTGGCTTGAAGCTGATGGTCGCTAATCTGCTACAGCCAATGTCCTTCACAAGGTCGCACCGCGTTTCTTGCCTTCTCATCGCGGCGTGGGGAAAAAAGTTAGTGAACTTTTCAGCAGCCACTGCTCGCTTCGGTTTATCGGTCTCTTTTGGTCCAGGGTTGTCTCACCGAGGGCGACGGCACTCTACTTACGCAACCGCCCTGTCCCTTGTGGGCCCTTGTAAGTGCCTGGTGGTTCCAGTAACGAGCCTCTGAAGTCGACCCCTAAAGGTGCCTCAGGAAAAACACCTTTTGTACGTAGTAAGGCCACCGCCTCTAGAGCTTGTCCACGAAAACGATAATGAGCCTTCGGGTTCCATAACGTGTGTGAGCGACTGTCAGCTTCTCAGGAAGGGTGCTTGAGATGCAGCGTGTTGGAAACCTAGACAAGCGAAGGAACTATTGAGTTCTGGACGTGCTGTACCATCCATCACTTTGTCGTGCTCGAAGTAATTGCATCAGAACCAATCTTTTGCGTCATGTTGTGAAGTTTCTACAAGTGTTGTTATGGTTTTATTTGTGGTTCGAGTGATCAGAAGAGAGAGTAAAGCGTTATTTGTTTATCTCACATTCACTTGATGGGACAAAGGAAACCATAAAGAAATTCTTCCAGGATTCGACTTCATCTTTTCAAAGATCAGGGAAGGGAAACAATTATGAAACGTGACAGACACATTTATTGGCTTAGCTGCGATCCAGAAGACGGCCGTCTTCGTGTTAGGTACTGAGTAAAATCAGTTCCTGATTTTCCAGTTACTGCTGAAGTCATGTGTGGCGTCGTAAGTTCTCAGCATCCATGAGAATTCATTAAGTCGCCTGCTTTAGGATTTCCTTGCGGGTAGCTCAGATGACTTGAACACAAATTCCAGGTTCTGCTTTTTGTTCTCGGCAAACCACAAATTTCACGCACCACTGACGTTGAAATTCCGTAAATATCAGCGCATTCGCTTCATGGCTACCACCTGATGACAGGGCCTGCAACATTACCATCGAAATATCATCGTCCGACAGCTGACTTAACTCCGTGGCGAGGCTGACGGTCGCTCAGCTGCTTTTTATGGAACCCGAAGGATCATCGCTGTCGTCTCTTTCCTGAGCGAATCGAATCTAGAGATCCGTTTTAATATTATCCTCTCATTTGTTATAATAATGCCTGGCTTAGAATACAGGTTGTGAATTACAAGGATGATTGCAGGCTGTTAGAAGTTTGCTGACGCTTCAGAGGCGATCGCTTTCAGACCACACGACGCAACATTCCAGAAGACCGCCATCTTCAGACTCGCTTGAACCTCACCTGTGAAGCAGAACGTCGTTGTGAAATTTTTCCCCGTCTCTTGTAACGTTCTCCAACGTGGCTGGAGGGCCACCCTTTGTCGGTTGTCCGCGAATGCCTGTTTTAAAATGTTTCACAGTTTGGGGCCGTCTTCCTCCATCCTCAGACAAGATAAGCGACGTATTACGGGTAAGAGCGGCTCATAGTTCTCATAGTTCCCGGGAACCAGCTGAATTTAATGAATTTCGGCTTCATCAAATGAAGCTGAATAAACCCCCCGCCAGAATTAATTCGAGTGTATGAAATTTCTGTCATCTAGAAGGACTTGACAAAGGCAGAGTCCGAGGCCGACATGGGAAGCATACTGCGTTATTTGCAAAACAGAAAGATTAGCAAGAAAGTTTATTAATTAAATTGGAAGCTATGTTGTACTCTGTTGAACACAATTTTTATGTATCCGGATTGGCTGAGGTCGAGCATGAAGAAGACACGTGGGGATGGGCGAGACACCTGATTAAGCCAGGCCCGTTTACGTCAAAGAGATTATGGGCAATAAATTTGAGATCTTGTGGTCATTTCTAACGAAGTTGTTCACACTTATAGCTCCGTAAAGCTGACAACGAAACCAGATGACGGCTGTCAGTGAAAGGTGTGAGGCGAAGGTCTCCAAAGCGGCCGTGAGTGAGTAGGTGTCCGCTTGACATAAAACGGAAGAGAGCAATTCCGCCATGCTCTGACCTTTGACGGGGAAGGGTTCTTGGAAAGTGACAACTTGGGCGACCGAGAAGGGGTTGGAAGGTGCACATATTTGGACGGATGTTTGAGGTGCGTGATGCTGCTCGTTGTGTTTGCAGCGGGCAGGACTCTGGCGCCGGGACGCTGACCCGGTGGCTGCGTGAACTGCGTCCTGCCGCCGCGGCCGTGTCCGCCCTGGACCGTTCTCACGCGGCGTACCACAGCGAGGGCAAAGGGCTGAGGCGTCGCCAGCAGCGGGACAGACGACGCCACTCCTTCAACGAGCAGCAGCCAGGACCACCGACGCCGCCCACCAGGTAGGCACGAGGACTTCGGCCAGCAACGCCACTGGCACGTTCTTCGTCTGTTTCCTTCCTTTCCTCAGTTCTTTTCCTCGCCTCCTACAGGTTTTGAAGCCCAGTTCTTATGTCATTAAGGATGATTATTATTAGGAGAGTTAAGGGGTTTTTGGACCCAAAGGGGAATGAAGTGACAGGAGGCTGGAGAAAACCGCGCAGTGCCCTTCACCGTATTCCATTACGATGATCAAATCGCGGAGGATGAGATCGGCAGTGCATGTAGCGCGCATGGGGGAAGATGTGGAATGCGCACACAATTTGTTTTAGAATACTGAAAGGAATAAGAGAATATGAAGGCCTAGACATTTGCTAGGAGGATAATATTAAAAAGTGAGCGAAATGGGACTGGGGTGTGTGTGGATTGGATTCATCTGGCTCAGGATTCGGACCGGTAGCGGGAGAATGTGAACACGGTAATGGACCTTCGGTCACGATGAAGGGCGGGTAATTTCCGGACTTGCTGAGGCTACTATCAGCTTCTCAGGCTCCATGAAGTC